ATTTAGCAAAATAAATATATAGTAATAGTAATAGTAATGTGTTACGAAAAAATTTTAATTGAATTTAACAATGTGTCACGAAAATAAAAGAATTGAATTTAGCAATGTGTCACGAAGATAAAGTAATTGAATTTAGCAATGTGTCGCGAAAATAAAGTCATTGAATTTACCAATGTGTTGCCACAAAAATAAAGTATTGCCAACTATTTATAAAAAGGCTGGTATCCAAATCAACTCAGAAGTTTTCTCACCTTTGTTTTAATATTTATAATTAATATTAATAATAAAAATGGATGAACAAATACAAGAAAATTTTGATGATCAAGAAATAGGCAACTTCCACTGAGAGAATTTTTACATCAACCCGATGAATCAAATATTCGTTTTTTTATTATTTTATTATTATATATTTATTTAGTCAAGAAAAAATCACGTGATATATTCAAAGATCTTTCCTTAAAAGGAAAGATCTTCCAACAGAGTCGCTCCTCGGCCCTATATCGGTTCGGTTCCAGAGTCGCTCAGGAGCGGCTCCTTAACGGAACCACTCCATCCCTACAAACAATATGGGACGTTTCACAGCAAAAACCACCTCTGGGGTCATCTGACCAAAATTGAGCTTTTTACCTATAATATATAAATTATAATTGGTGAAAATATTAGACCTTATTTGCTAATAAAAAACGGGGAATTTGCAATGGATACCTTCTTTAAAGTAATTTGCACAAAATAATAAATTGACCTGCACACCCCATTTTATTGTTACACACAATAATTTAAAATTTTTTTAAAAATACATACATATTAATATTAATATACATTAAAATAAAATCAATAAATATTAGGTTCTGGACAAAGAATATCTTTAAATGGGTCTTCTACATGTTGGCAAATTTTTGTAAACAAATATTTTTTTCTACCATCTGTTAATGGAGAAACCTCAATAATATTTAATTGGCCATCCTTATCAAAATTATCATTCTTTAGAAGTTTAAAAGAAATTTCCATGTCACCAGATTTTTCAGAAACATAAACTTTTCCAATATCCTTACTACTAAAGCAAAAATGATGGTATTTTTTTGTGTTTGGTAATTTCTGAAATTGTCATTAAATAGTAAGCTAATGTCATACCATTCCAACCCATACCATTTTTATATCTAATAGATTGATTATTACAATTTTTTGATGAATCATTTATAGCTTCTTCAACATGATCAACAGTATTTATAACTCCATTTCTATCTACTTTTTTAACTGATCCAAAAAATCCATCACATACAAATTTAGTGTGACCAGGTATCATAAAATTTATATATATATTTTCATACCAATCCAACATTATTAACCATGACCAAAACCAAAGTGATAAGTTGTTCTTATTTTGTCCTGAACAGTTATCACATGTCACATATAGGTCTTTTTTCTCATTATGATGATTCCTTTTAAGAAAATCAAAAACCATATGTAAAGTTGAATTGGCTCCTTTTGGTGTTCCTTGTGGCAATTCATCTTCACCTATAGTATAATTTAGCTGATAATTGTTGCCTCCATCAGTTTTAGTGCATCCAAAGAGTTGTACGATTCAATAATTTTGTTATAATGTTGTCTTTCACAATCTGCAGTTACAAGATGCTCATCAAACTTGAATTGTATGTCAATGTTTTCATCTTTCTCATTTGATGGTGTTACTTTTAATCCAAAATTTTTACAAATCTCACAAACCTCACTTGAGGCATTTAAAAATTTAACATGTGGTGTTAATTGACTCCAAAGTTTCACAAAAGCTCCATATTTTAAATTCATTATAGAAGTGCCATAACTATCAACAAAGCTTTTTACATATTCATTAAAAACTGAAGTATAATTACATTTAATTTTTAGATAATAATTGGGTCTGAATTCTCATTGGAGATGGCAATCCATATAGGTTTGCATAATTTAATATAAATTGCTTCACTATTTCTGCTAATTCCATATTAACAAATGCATGTGACTTAAGTTTGGGAATATTTTTATATTACCATGTTGACAATCTTCTAAACCATTTGTTTGTAAATGTTTTTGCAAAGCTTTTAACACATCTACTTTAATATTACACAGCTTTAAGAATACAGGTTGGCAAATGGATATTGTTGCATTATATTTGTATTGATATTTAATAAGTGAATCTCCACTGTCAAATTTGAAAACCATCAATTGTGTTTTGATGGAAAGATCTTTTCTTTTTTATCTTTTTTATCTAAACTTTTAAATTCAAAATATCTTTCAAAAAAATTATGTGAATCTATTTCTGTTTTATGAGATTTACATTCAGAGCTCTGGGAAAATTCTCAACTACATCAACTACTAAATTATTTGTTCATAATCTACTAATTCTAGATCAAATAAATTGTATCCTGGGATTGAATTAATTAAAGACATATTGATTTGATATATTTTTATAAAATTTAAAGCTTTTATTTTTTTATTTAAGATAAAAATTCTTATGTACAATATTTATACTTATAATTGATAAAATTAAAAATTTCAGCCATTATAATTTTTAATATTATGTATATAGTTCAGATGTTATAATTTCTTGTTTACTAAATTTGGGATGATTGATGATCAAAAAATTTTAGAGGCAATTTCCTTTTTTTCCATGTAACAAATTTTAAACATGTGTTTACTCAAAATAATCTATTTTTCTGAGGTGGTTTTTGCTGTCCCATATGTTACAACAGTGTTTAAAATTCAGCGGGAAGGTGTAACGTTATACAACTCATGTGCACATGTCATTTTTTAGAAAATTTTAATTTTAATATTAATGAATATTGTTTTACAAAAAAAAATTAAAATCCATTGTTTCTTCTTGGTTATTTACTCTCCCAATGTTCTATTGCTTTTAAAAAATCAAAATTTTCAATTTCTGGTCCATTTAATAAAATCATTAAATAATCATCTAATGTGTCTAAATGCATTTTGTTTCTTAATTAACTTTGTTTGAGAAAATATTCTTTCTAGATGAGCATTAGAAAGAGGTATAAGAAGTGCTATTCTAACAACTAATAATATATTTGGATTATTAAAAGGAAAATCTTCATCAGTATCTAAAATGTGTTTCCATAATTCATTTCCCTATTATTATTTTTATAGTTCTGTAAGAAAAGTTTGGTTGAATTCCATTCTTGTTTAAGTTCTTCTTTGTCAATGATTCCACTAAATTCATTACCATTTACAAATTTCTATTTCTTGATTTCCATATAAAACTAATTCTCTATCATCATCTGGAAGTATTAATTTATTTTGTGCACACATAATTATGGTGTAACGTCACACCCTCCCACTGAATTTTCAACACTGGTTGAGAACTAAAGATGATGTATATGATGATGATATTTCTAAGCTTAGAGTAAGGCTACAAATATAACAATCATGATTGTTGTGATCTTTTAATTCTGGATCAATAGCATAGTTTTTTGATAAGTGAAATAAGTGAGTTGATCTGATAAATAAAAGGAAAATTTTTCAATTAATCAGTCAAAAGCAGATTTATTTCTAGTTCAGGATTTATTCAGCTAATTAATTGATTTTCCTGCAAAAATAATCCAGAAACCTGTCCTATTTAAGCTGTGTTGACTTCAAGAAAGGTTTATCAAAGTCTTCTATGACATTAATAAATTAAATGGAATTGGTGCAATACAATGTGTCCAGAGTCACATTGCCATATTTTCATGATTTCCCTGTTTAATAAAATTCTCAGACCAAAAAGTTAATATAAATTTATTATTTTTAATTAATTATGACAAAATAATTTTTTCCCACAAAAACATTTCATCAGGTATCATTTAATCATGGATGCATTTTGACATTTAACTTAGCATCAGTAATTTTCAATTATCCATCATTTATCATTCTATTTTATTTATTTTATTGGACAAGAAGTCATGTTATTTGTAATACTTCAAGAAGTATAAATATGCTTGAAATCTCCTTCAGTGAAAAAAAAAAATTAAAATAAATAATTGATCTTTCAATAATAACACTGGTAATAAAAATAACATTTTCATAAAAATGATCCTTGACTGTAATTAATTAATAAATCTGGCATTATTGATTGGATGATTAATGGTTTGGCCAACTTTTAATTATTAGTTAGGAACCCTTTTATAAGTTTTATTATATTGCTTCTAGGGACGCCTCAAGTAGTGTAGTTATATATGATGATTTTAGTTTAGTTTGAACATATGTGCCAGAATAATACAAATTTTTGTTCAAATTATTCAAATCATTAGATTTGTTTGAATTGTTATCATTCGTTTATTATTCAAATTGTTATCATTCGAATTATTCATTTTATTCGTTTTGTGAATTGTTCAAATTATTTCGTTTTATTTGAATTATTCGTTTTATTCGTTTATTCGTTTTGTTTGAATTATTTGAATTATTATTCGAATTATTATTATTCATTTTATTCGAATCGCTCGAATTACTCATTTTTTTTTTCCTGTTCATGTGTCACAAGGAACTTTAAATGGAAGCTTCATTTAAAACGATTTGGAAATTTAACAAGACCGACTATGTTGAAAAATCACCCTCTAGAAAAGATGGATTTACTTATGAAAAAGAAAACCGTATAAGAGTGAAAACAACGCAATTCATTATTCAAGTTTGTTACCATCTGAAGCTGTAAGTATTTATTTCTATTGCAATCATTTTAATAAGTTTTTTCCCTAAAAGATCTTATTTTTATTTTTAGTCCTCAAATCACTGTATCTACGGCTATAACCTACTTTCAGCGATTCTACATGTTAAACAGTTTAGCAAAGTTTGATAGCAAGGTGGAACTCTACATCATATACATTTATATATTACGCTTATATGCATTTATTTATATGATTTATACAATCTAAAGGCAGTGGCAGGTGTTTGTGTATTTTTGGCATGTAAAGCAGAAGAATCGATCAGGAAAATGCTTGATGTTGCAATATCGTGTGCAAGGGTTTACTACGGAGACCCTAACAGATTAGAGAAAGTGGTAATTTGGTTGCTATTATTGTTATATTCATATAACATATGTTGGATTATTATATAATATGTTTATTTATTGAAATGTTTCAGGAATATGAATTTTGGAGATCAATAATAAAAATATTGGAACCAGTTGTGTGTACATCATTATGCTATGATTATTCAGTTGAACATCCTTATCGTGTTTATATAAAGTATATGAAAGTATTGAAAGGTAGTCAATGGATATGAAGAAGATAATGAAAATGAAAATGGAGATGATAATAATCATTGATTAATTAATTAATTTTTAGGTTATAGTCAAGATGTTATAAGAAAATTGGCAGAAGGAGGATGGTCGATAATAAATGAAACGTGAGTTAATTGAATGATTGGACAAACATTTATTGGGAAATGCTCAATACTTGATTAATTTCTTTTTTTCTCGAACTTTCAGCTATAAGACACCGTTATCTCTTTTTTATAGTCCAACAATCATAGCAAGTGCTACCTTATTGATTTCAGCTAAAGCTGCAGGCATAGAATTTAATAATTATAGTAAAGTTAATGGATATGATGAGGATGTTAATGATAATGATAAAGATAAAAATGATTTTACTGAAGGGTCAGTTTGGTGGTTATTGTCTCATAGAAATAATGAAGCCACAACCGGTAATTTAATAATAATAATAATAATAATAATAATAATAATAATAATAATAATAATAATAATAATAATAATAATAAATCTTTTAACTATGATTTCAAATTACATCACGTTATATTTGATACTAGAATGTGTCAATGATCTTCTCGATCTTTATAATTTTTCAGATATTCAAAATTCAATATCAACCACTAATAATTCATCATCAACATCATTAAAAAAAGATAAAAATGTTAGTAATTATTTTGATTATGATCATGATAATGATAGTGAGCATAAACATGACTATCAAAAGTCCAGTTATGTGAGTAATAAATATAGTACACCTGATTTCAATAATGTTGATTCTTGTGATGTGAGATTTGAGTCAATAGCAGAAAAACTAGAGCCTGATTTAGAACCACCGCGTGGTTTGCTTGATAAAAATGATGATGTTGTTGTTGAAGATGATGAAGAGGATGAAGATGGACAAATTTTTGAAGAAGATGATGAATATGATGGTGAAGGTGTAATAAACGATCAGATGGAAGAAATTAGTAATGAAGGATTAGATGATGGTGAAGAATATATCGGAGTTGATGATTATGAGATTGGAGTCAACAAGAATATTCGTGATAATGAAAATGTAAAAGGTGATAATAATGGTGATGGTGAAATAGAACAATTTGATGGTGCAAAGTATGAGGTTGATGATTTTGATGTTGATAATGATGACAATAATAATAATCATAACAATGAAAATGAAGAAGACAACAATGATGATGGTGATAGTATGATTGTTGATGATTAGAATTGGATACTATCATCATCATTAATGGATATTTTTAAAACAATTTTCCCTTTCTTTTTATTTAGATAACATCATACAAACTTTTTTTATGTACATAGCATTAACGCTTAAATTAATAATAATCCACATTTTTCTGCAGTCATATGTGCTGTAATTTCATACTCTAACGATAAAGTTCCAGAGTGACGTAAAGTTATTCATTTTTGAAAATTGCATATCTAAGATATCTTTCGTTATTAATAGATGGCATCAAAATTAAAGTTTATGGTTAGAATTTTTACGGAAGAGAAAATCATAAATTACAAAAATGTGAAACGAGACCATTTGTACGGAATTTTACTTGGTGCGCCTCAACCACTTGTTATAAAACTCTTTGCAAATTCTTTTGATTCTTTTTATCAAAATAATTCCCAATTGGTGGCTATGACTAGATTAACAATTTTTGATAACCATAATTTTCATAATGATATTCAATATCATTCATTACTCACAAATTTCATCACAATAACAACAATGATTTTTTCATCTATTTCTATTTTCTGATGCTTCGATCAAAAAGTTAGAGTGTAATTATAATGACAACAACACTACCATTTTCCTGCTATTTCTACTATTTGAAGTAGATTCTTTTATTAATTCGAAACCAAACTCCAACTTCCCTTCTTATATACATGCAAATACCTTCTCGTGCAAAGTTTTAGATCCTGAACCAAAATTTGTAGCTAAAGCATCACGTGAAAGTTGTCGATTTTTTTTGATCTGCACACTTGTTGTTCTGACATGATTTATTCGGCATAATTTTTTGCAACACGGTTTCGCGCATTGCTGCATTCAAGAAACATTCTGCTGTGCTGCCATTCATTACAATTAATATTAGTACATGTATGTAAACAAATCCTGCTAATATTAATATTAATCTACGATTCGCCGATCAATTTAAAATAGATTTTTTCGATTATCTTTAAAAATCGCATTATATAGTGAATCATTGTGCTCAAGTCAGTGGGATGACTCTTTAAAAAGATTAGCTATTGGGTGGCGGGTTACGGATGATTAAACCAAACCAACACCTAGCGATATTCCCTTTACCATATTCTAGAAAACCGAAAGCTTTTAGATCAGAATTCGATAAAAAATATTGGTGCTGTGCATTGGATATATAACAAATAAATGTTCAGGGTCAGTTAATATTGATGTAAAAAGTATTTTTACGAGAAATTAGATCTTTAAATGGGTTATCCCAAAAGAATTAAAAACAATATATGTATTTATGTTGTGAGTTAGATCAAATTTGTGTCAATTTGAAATTTATTAATTAAATTTTAAGGTAGGGTGTTTGTAGGGATATCAAATTGCTCCCGATTACTAGCCTTAGTTTTAAGTTATGGTTTAGGTATAACTCGTCAAGACGAGACGATGGTTATATTGGATACTTTTACTCGATTTAATACCATTGAGAATTAACCATTTTTTCTTCCTAAATCATTTGAGGAAATTGATTACCTTTTTTAATTTAAAATTTTTCAATGTGCCAACTCTAATGTGATATGATGTATCAAGAAATGATCTAAAATGGTATATAGGTTGATAAAAAATGTAAATGGACAAGTTAATAAACAGAAAACTTTTTTAAAAGAATTTATAGTTTCATTAGAGACTTGGTTTTAAATCATCATCAGTCTAATAAAAATTTTCAATGACTCAAGTACTTTAATTCCTTGATCTGAGATTTTTTGAACCTTTCATACAAATTTCTCCATTGCTCTGGTTAAAAGCATTGGATATGGAGATAACGTGCTTATAATCGTTATATATATCTCTAATGAATTTATAACTCATACAATAGATTCTCAAGTTTTGGAAAGAGGATTTGCCGTTGAAGATGCTAATTTTTATTCAATTATGATATTACGAAAATTATTAATAATCATTTAAAATTAAAGCAATCGGCTCGTCCATTCGAAGAAATGTTGATGTGTTTTTATTTTCCAGATAATGTAAAATACCGAATACAGTCAAAAACTCTTTTACTTTTAACGTTTCTCAAGGAATCATTAAACATTTTTATTTATTCACATTCTAACTCTTCCTTTTGCTAAAGAAATAAAGTTAATATGACTTGGCCTTTAAGAATATGATGCAATGATGAAGTTAACGAGGGATCCGAATTTATTGATATTTAGTGGTTTACCTCATTTTTTGAAAACTTTTCTTATATTCAAGCACTTTGTTCCAAATGGCCACCACGAGGCAAATGATCCCTGCAATAAGAAGAAAGCCATAAAACGTCTTTGCAGTTATGTTTTATTATTTCTTTATATTATTTATATTGTTAATTATAATCATTTTTAACATTATGATGTTTAATCCACTTCCACTTTTATCTCTTTCTGCGTTTGAGACATCTATATGCAAGTAAATTAGCAGGCAAGATAATATGTCAACACACTCTTTTTCTAATAAATTTTAAAAATTAGCAAAATGGTTATAGTTGAACTTATTCACATTATTCTAGTTCTTCTTCACAAATAAATCTTTTGATTCTCAGGCAGAAGTAGGCAAATTATTGTTACAACTACCAGCAGATTTTGAGTTATTTTCATCATTCCAGCCATGATGATAACAAGAAAGGAGCTTGCATGGCGTGAAAAGGATGATTAATCTGACACTTAAACTCAATACGTTTAGATTATTCTTTTTCTTTTTCTTTTTCTTTTGGAAATGAATCGTAATTTAGACCTGAAATCTTTTGATAGTAGAGTGTTAACATGACCCCGATCCAAATTACAAAAGAGGAACCAAAGTAAATTCGTAAACTAATTAATTGACAAGCATTGAATTAACTGACAAGAGTAGCCCAAAAGTTAAGCCGTGACTACCATGCAATATCACCATTTAACAAGAATCTGTATTATGAATAGAAATTCTAGTTCTATACCACTTTGCTTAATTTCAGACTATAAAATGTTTTTATTAAACAAAAGAATCACTCTGTTTATTATTTAATTTGTAAATTACAGAAATAATTAATCGACAATTTTCTGCTTCTAATCTTATGAGCAAGGCTCGAAATGTTAATTAATTAATTAACTAGTCAATTAGTTACTAGCTAATAGTAGATAGTTCATAATCCGAAATTTTCCGCTTGGTCAAAAAAGCTATGTTAATCTTTCATTGTTTATTATTATAGAACAATTTTATCAAAGTGCCGGCCAGTCACATTGTGAGCATGTGGCCCAATATCTTCCGTCCTTACATTATTACGACCTGATTATGACATTACAATATTACGGTGTGTCAAAAGTCATAATATTTTGGGTTGCATGTATAGTATAACTCTTGCAGATTGTATGGTATGGGCCATATTTTCCCATACAAAGTCTCACGGAA